ATTCAAATTTTGTGCTTTATCCATAAGACCTGTTTTGTCCCTGTTCTCAAGAATCACTGATAAACTAAACTATTTTATTATGAGAAGAGCAGGAGAGCCAGGTGGAGTTTCAGGGTGTGAAGATATCAAAATTATATTAATGTTAGTAGAACCAGAAAGGAGAACAGGTGAGAACTTATGTCAGGTTGATTTAAAAAAAACAAACTTTTCAATTTTTTTTTTATTATTTCCACACTGTAGGGTAATGGTTATGAGACAATAAGAAAAGGGCTTGAGGAGAGGTTTTAAAATGAGTGTAGGAAATGGGTTACACAGTAAATAGAGTTGAGATGTATAATAATGTATCCATCTGAAAATCGGTTGCTAAAATTCTCATTTTGTATGATAAAATATATATATATTTCAGAAACGGATGGTGAAGAAGAGCTGAGTGCGGCGCAGAGCGGCCATTTCCTGCTGAGGATCAGTTGTGGGATCGTCTGTGAACTCCAGCCTCCTGGTGAGCTGAAATATTGCTGTGGAATTAAAACTTTGATGAAATAATTTATTAAGTTCTTCCACACGCTTTAAATAACTGCTTTTGTCTAAATCAGCTCTTTGTATATTGGTTGTACAGTCAGAGGCCACAGCCATGTTTCTGTTATTTTATCTCAGATTTATTTAGTATTTTTCAGATTTAGGTTTTAGTTTTTCTTATTCTGTAAGCTTTCAGCATTTCATCTTTGGTTACTAAAGTTTAGCAGAAGTCTGTATTCTGTTTGTTGAACAAACGTAGAAAGTACATTACTACACATTAAGAAGCCCAGCTATTGTCCTGTGAGGATATCTGGGACCAACTAAACATCCTAATAGTTGAGTTACAGAATCACATTGTATTTTACAATGATTTGTAGCTTTTTAACTTTGTTCATTTTGTGGTTCCTGTCTCTTTTAGCTGGGCCCACAAGTTGACCTCACCACCAGTTCACCCATCACTCTGGTTGTGAAGAGGAGCGGTCTCCATTAGAAGAAATGGAGCATCGAGGCAAAACGCTGGAGGCTTATTTCAACCCCAAAGTCCTGCTGCATAGATTAGGTCTGTATGTTTTCTTATCAGTAATGGTTTAGGAGCAGCTTTATGAGGTTTATCTTCTTAACAGAAAGTTGAGAAACGGTTTGTGTCTGTGTTAGCAGATTAGCTTTCTATCTGATGGAAGATTGACTGAATCCCAACGCAAATGAACGTATCAAACCTGATTCATCATTGAAATATTCAACTTTTCTGCTGCTCTTGGTTCAGTGGAGCTCTGGTTCCTAAAGCCATTGAAGATTATTTTCAGTGTTCAGATCTTTGTCTTTCTTTTTCTAGATAGCTCTCATCATTTAGGGTTGAAGCTGAAGTTGGTTTCCAATTCTAGCTTCCAATAGCTAAAGGGCAATTCCACCTAATTTTTCACTTCCCTCTGCATCTTTAATCGACTCTAATTTAAGAACTACTATGCCTAGACACTTGGACTGGATTATCATCCTCCCTCTTCAAGCTGGATATTTAAAACATGTTTGGGATTTGTGAAAACTTAATAACTTTCGATTTTCACTTTTTTTGCATCTGGATCACCATAGATCTGCTCTAATTAAAAAAACTACTACACCTAGACACTTCAAATCTGGACTGGATTATTCTCCTCTTCAGGAAGACTCTTTATAACCATGTTTGTGATTTGTGAAACTTTTGCCCTTTTTTCAAATCTGGACTGGATTATTCTTCTCTTCAAGCTGGATATTTAAAACATGTTTGGGATTTGTGAACTTTTTTCTGATTTGTGAAACTTCACTTCACTTAACAGACCACTGCTGAACATCTTTCCTTCCAAAAGCCATCACCATCTACAATAACTCTTTGAAGAATTAATGAGTTACACCAACATTTAATTTCCCATTGGGATTAATAAAGTAGTTTTGAATTAGAATTGAATTTGAAAAAAACTGCATGGAACAAGTGTGAATAGTAGTCTGATCTTTAGTGAAGTTTCACAAATCAGATAAAAGTTTCACAAATCACAAACATGGTTATAAAGAGTCTTCTTGAAGAGGAGAATAATCTAGTCCAGATTTCAAGTGTCTAGGTGTAGTAGTTTTTTTAATTAGAGCAGTTCTAGTATGAAAGAGATGCAAAAAAATAGTGAAAATCGAACTTTATTGAGTTTTCACAAATCCCAAACAGGTTTTAAATATCCAGCTTGAAGAGGAAAATAATCCTGTCCAGGTTTGAAGTGTCTAGGCGTAGTAGTTTCTAAATTAGAGTCGATTAAAGATGCGGAAGGTGGTGAAAAATTTGATGAAATCCCTTTAGCTATTGAAAGCTAGAATTGGAAACCAACTTCAGCTTTGTGGGTTGAAGTCGGTTATCTTTCTGATCTTCACCCAGTTTGAACAAACTGTTCAAATGATGGTTATAGTGAGACTCTCTTCCTGATCAGCTCTGAAACTGGGTATAGAGGCACTTTGGTCTGGAAAGTCTGCATTCAATCACAACAGCTTCATGAACTTAAAGAGCCCTGCTCTTAGGAAACCATCTAGTTCCTAAATGAAGCAAATTACTGTAAACAGCTTTAGGCCAGAGTGACTTTGTCCTGATTCCCTGTTGGGTCAAATATCTGATTCAGAGCATTGATAGCGCAAAAAAATGTCACCTTGATGAGTTCATTATCTTCATGTCATCACACCAAAGTGATTTGTTTTCTTTGTTCTGGGTTTTAATTTGTTATTTAAGTCTGTGTAATGTGCATAAAACAGAAGTAGACACATTTTTCAAAAGAGACAAGTTTATATTTAAATTTATGAACACAATAACATCCATCAATTCAAGATGTAAAGTAACATGTTTTGGCAACAAGATTGTAAACAAAAAGTGAAAACTAGCAACAAAAATACCCCATTTAAATAACTCAGCTATCATTTCTTTGGCTTTCTGCTACAGATGCAATTTATCGATTAATGAGTAATCAAAAGTTAATTGATTTTATTCAGGGTTTTCACCAGAAAATAGACTAAGTCTGGTGGTAGTTGGCCCCAGGGTGGCTGATCGCCAACTCATCGAGTTTTAGTAAAAAAAGATTTAAAATTGAAAATATTGCTATTTATTATGTGATGTAAGATATTTGAGACATATTACAGTTGTATAAAAAAGTCAGGCTTAAAATACAGATTTTAACAGGCATTGCTATTATAGTGAACCTCAGAGCGATCAACATCGCTGTTCAACCTGAAGTCAAAAATTTATGTACGTTAGTTTGTAACACTAGTAATGTTGATGTGAATATAAAGCTGCAGTGGTTTATAATGTACATAATTTGCTTCATTGGTTCCTGCAGATGCTCAGCAGATGTTGCTGCTTAAAGAAGATGCTCCTGAAGAACATGGTCCAGGTCTTGATCTACAACGTCCAGAGTCTCTCCCACCAACCATGAATGAGGATGATGAAGAGTTTCTCCTGTCTTCTCACCTTCATCAGCACCACAGAGAGTTACCAGAAGATCACTGTGAAGCAGCAGAACCTATCAGAAAGCAAGATCATGGAGATTATTCTAACTCATCAGAGACTGAACACATTGAGGAGGAAGAAGAGGAGGAAGAAGCTGATGTAAATAATGTTTTCTGTCATCTTGAACAATTGCCAGATTGCAGACCAAATAGTAAATACAGGGGAAATGACAACAAGGTGAGCCATTCAACTGAAGGTTCTCCAAACTCTGAGGGTAAAATGAAATCCTTTACTTCAAAGAAAACCCTAGACTCAATGAGGAAAGTTCAGGTTGAAATGAAGTTTAGCTGTGATGACAATGGTAAAACAAATCCAACATCAAAAAGACATGCAAGAACCCTAGCAGGACATGAACATCTCTGTAAATTGTGTGGCCACACATTTAAAAACAGAAGAAACTTAGACACACACATGAGAATCCACACAGGAGAGAAACCTTTCAGTTGTGATCTTTGTGGATACAGATGTAACCAAAAATCAAATTTAAATGTACACATGAGAATCCACACAGAGGATAAGCCTTTCAGTTGTGATCTTTGTGGATACAGATGTAGCAGAAAATCAAGTTTAAATGTACACATGAGAATCCACACAGAGGATAAGCCTTTCAGTTGTGATCTTTGTGGATACAGATGTAGCAGAAAATCAAGTTTAAATGTACACATGAGAATCCACACAGGAGAGAAACCTTTCAGTTGTGATCTTTGTGGATACAGATTTAGCATAAAATCAAGTTTAAATGAACACATGAGAATCCACACTGGAGAAAAACCTTTCAGTTGTGAACTTTGTGGATACAGATTTAGCATAAAATCAAGTTTAAATGAACACATGAGAATCCACACTGGAGAAAAACCTTTCAGTTGTGAACTTTGTGGTTATCAATGTAGTCAGAAATCACAGTTAAACAAGCACATGAGAATCCACTAAAGATAAACATTCTAGTTGTGATATTTTAGGCACAGGAAATGAGGATCATATTTTAAATGGAAGACTCTAAAGAAAAATATTCTTCTGTTGTGTGTTGAAGTCTGTAAACAAGAGAGTGGAAATTGATTTAAACAGCAATGTTGCAGTGTTTATTGTGGAGAATTCTGGTGCTATTAAAATTTTTTGTTGTGTTTTTGGATGCATCTCTTCCACTTTTGGTTTGATTTTTTTTATAAATATTTTATTGAATACACTAGGAATTTTCTGTTATATAGCTAGAAATGTGATTTCTCACTGAGTTGTTACTAATAAATCAAATGTATTTTCTTTACTGATTTTTTGTTACTGCTGCAGAGACAGCTGTGCTACAGATGTTCTCTAATCATGTTAACTGCTTTATTAGATGATGATTCTGCCTGTTGTATGTTCAATAAAGTAAAGTGACAAAATACAAGTTTACTTTCATGGGTTTGTTGTGCTTCAGAATATAAAAATCTAGTCTTCAGATTTTTAAGGATCTAAACTGCAGTTAGTTGCAACTCTTAAGCAAAAAAAAAAAAAAAAAAGCCGCTTCCTATCTACTGCTAATAAGCTGATGCCACAACCAAAGAAGGTCTTCAGGAGAGTCTCTTGCTCCCCAAAATACTTCAACCTGCTCAGCAGGTAGAGTCTGCTCTGATCCTTCCTGTAAAGAGCATTAATTTGTCAGAAATATCTCAAAATTGCAGCTTATCCGTTGTGGCTGGTCCTGTCATCAAGCCATACATTTAGAAGAGCTGAAAGGTTTCTTAAAAGCTTGTTTCTGCTCCAAATGTAGTCTTTCTTGGTAATGTAGTCCAACAATGCACCAAAAGGAATTCTGGTTTTTGACAATTGAAATAAGCAATCCACATTGCTAAATTGTGTTTTTATTACACCATTCTATGTCTACATAATTTTTTTCTAAAAATAGTTACGGCTCATAATTACCGTATTTTTCGGACTATATGCCTCTACTTTTTTCCCACACTTTTGAACCATACAGCTTGCAGCCCGGTGCGGCTTTTCTGTGGAGTGATTCTTCCACAGAATGGAAAAGGAATGGAAAATTTTCCATTTTCCATTCCTAGTGGCTGCTAAAGATCCACTGCTAAAGGGGGCTCTTTAGCAGGAAGTGAATCATTGGAAGTCAAAATTGGAAATCAAAGAAAAACGTGCTAATTTTCATTTAGAACAAGTACATTCTTGCAGCAGGCACAACGGAGAAATGTTTTCAAACTCTATAATGCAGCTTTTAAGTTGAGGGCTATCAATCTGGCAGTACAGGAGGGAAATAGAGCCACTGCACGTAAGCTCGGCGTGAAAAAAACCATGGTTCGCCTTTGGAGACAGAGGGCTGCGTTCTTAATATGTCCAGCAGGGTTATTAGGACACAGTCCTCTGCTACCCTCTGCTGGGTCCTTATGGAAAACCGAGAGCGGCGGAGATACCAGCGGTATATTGCCCGGTGCGCTTATACGTTCCCCGCTTTTCTTTTTTTTTTTTTTTTAAACATTTGTAGGTGCGGCTTATAGTATGGTGCGCACTATAGTCCGAAGAATACGGTATTCATACTTTTGATTACAGGGTTTCTGTGTGGTGGTAAAAGGTAGTAAATTAAATTAGCTCAAATTAAGGCCAATAAAAAGTAATAAAAATGCAGGCCAGTAACTAAAGGTAGTAAAAAGTAGTACATTTTTCATCATACCTTCAAAATATTTTAAATTTTCCATTGATGCTCACTTATTGTTTTAAGTTTATGTTACTAAAATCTATATATAAAAAAATTATAACTACAGTACTGGCAGGACCCCAGCTGTCACTGATAGCCCCCCCCCCCACACCCCAATCTTGGAAAAGTCTAGAATTGTCCACCCCTACTGTCCACCCCCTGAACAATGGTTCAGTCCAACTTGAAGGCAGAGCAACAACAGCGCTGAACGGCCGCTGAAGTGAGGAGCTAGCTGTTCGTTGTGGCTCTGCATCACAAATAAAAAACCCTCCAGTAAGTAAATACTTAAAAAAATATGTAACACCTTTTATTTACTTTAACTGGTCAATATTAAGAAACACATTAACAATAAAAATCGGACTGCAGTTTGTTATTTTCTTACTTTGGCTGAATCATGATGAGCTGCCTCATTAGCTAAACTGCTACACATGGACATCAAAAGTTCTGACTGGTGAGTTCAGGAGTGAAGCAGATGTAATCATTTTCAGATACAAACACGTCATTGTTGCACTTTAAGTTTAACTGAATAAAAAACTTCATCAAAGAAACATCAATAAAACAGAGGCTTTGAATATAATTATAAATGATTTGAAATGCAAATAATAGTTATTCAATATGACTACATTTTATTTCTGTACGTTAGACTGATAAGTAAAGTGAACTAAAGTAAAAAAAATAATAATAATAATAACAAAAAAAAAGCAAGATTACACAAGATTAAAAGGAATGTTGACCGTTCAGGAAATTGTCTTGAAATAACAGGTTTACAGGTAAAGACACTGAATCGATTCCAAACAGCAAAGTTCAAACATTAGTTTCAAGAAGTTATCATGACTTTATTGAAATCTATCTGGTAAGATCTGACTCATTAACCAAAAGTTGGTGCCAACGGGAATGTCTAAAGATGACATTTATCCTTTCAAACCTTTGAAGTTTTTGAAAAAACATTATAATTATGGAAAAAAACAAACACTAACTTAAAAGAAAAGATGAGCTTATGTAACTGATATTAAAAATCTGGAATGAACATGAAAAAGTTCATTCCTTAAAGAGCATTAAAATATTTGAGCATTTTCTGTCTGTGGCGATATGCCTTTTATATCAAGACTTGTTCAAGATGCTAACTCATCATAAACTTACTGTCAGATAGAGGACCTGACATAGCTGCACATGAAGCCCACATCATGAGGCCTCCACCACCGTGCTTTGCGGTAGGAATGAGGTGCAGAAGCTGATGTGGTGCTAAGTTGTCATATTTAGATTACCTTCAAGTTGAAGAACATCCCTTATTTTAATTACAAGAAAAGATGTTCCCCTCCAGTGCTTCTGAACAGGTTGTAATTGTCCAGTCTCTTAGTTTATCCATTTCTAGTTCTCTACTGACATTAACTTTGTCGTCCACCATGCTAGCTAAGACCAATAAGCAAGGGTGTAGGAACAAGTTTAACATTGGGGAGGGGGGGCACATATCGGAAACCTGACAGATTCGTAAACAGCTTGAGCAAAAATGTCAAATAATGGTGTCATTAACGCGTTACTCTATTGACCCCTTGTAACGCATAATCTAACACGTTACTCCTTACAATCCAATGATCAGATTAAAGTTACGTATCCAAGTTACTGTGTTTTACTATATTTGTTTTGTTTTTTTTACTAAACACATATTGTTGCTTTCTTATTTTTCCTTGGGGAGATACGTTTCATGTGTAAAACCAGCGACACAAACGTAAACGATAGAGGGAAAAGAGATGCACATTTTCTAGCTGATGGGTTTTTCATTGAGTAATCAAATTACTGTTTCAAAGTAACTGCGCCATCCCTGGTAATAAACTAACTACACTATATATCTGTGTATAGACCTGTCACAATAAGACAAAAAATTGTTCCAGACATTATTGCGATAAACGATAATGTTGCTGTTTTGAGACTATTTTTAAGTAATACAATGGTAATGGCAAAATAATAATGCAAGAACACATTCTGAAAGATCAGTATCATGCGATTAATTGATTTATTGATTACTGTGACAGGCCTGTATGTGTGTTTATCATCTCAAGGTGACAAACTGCCCCCAAAACATCTTCTTCCATTTCCTGTTGAACAAAATGTCTTCGGTCTTTCATCAAGCAAAATAATTTCCAGGATGAACACTCACTTTATCATTTGCCTCACAATTAGCCAGATAAATACTCTGGCAGTACACACAAGCCACCAGATTTTGATATATTTTATTGGTCAAAATATATTTGACTGTTGGTCAAAAATGCATTGATAAAAGTTGACTGGCAATTGACCTGGTTCTGCCTCTTTCTGAAGTAAAAAATAGCTGGTAAAATGGGACTCAGCAGGTTTAAACTCAATACTGTAGTTTGACCAACAAACATAAACCTAAAAAATAAACTTTGTTCTTCTTGAACAACTCTCTACATCAGTGCAACAGTTTGCCCTGCAAATATCATTAAAAATTATGCTTTTCACATCTAACAGACATCTTAGCTTCTCACTGATAACTCTGTGTACCTTCTCACTTTCCAGCCCTGCTTTCAGTAACGTCATGTTTCACCTTCCAGTCAAACATGAGCCATGGCTCTCAAAAGGTTGAAACACATAAACTGTTGCAAAAAAGCCTAAATGTTTTTTTTCTCCTGTCATTTCAGCCACAAACATTTAATTAAAATATCTACAGTTATGTGTTTCTGTCTCTGCTTCATCTGACTCTCTGCATCCTGTTGTCCCTGCATGGGTTCATGTATTTACAACAGACACTACAGTAATTTACAGTATCAGAATGTGAATTAACTAAATATAAAAAGTATGTTTTTATCATACAGAATTCAGATGGATACATTATTATACATCTCAACTCTATTTACTGTGTAACCCGTTTCCTACACTCATTTTAAAACCTCTCCTCAAGCCCTTTTCTTATTGTCTCCTAACCATTACCCTTATAAATAGTGTGGAAATAAAAAAATATTGAAAAGTTTTTTGCTTTGTTTTATCAACCTGACATCAGTTCTCACCTGTTCTCCTTTCTGGTTCTACTAACATTAATATAATTTTTATCTTCACACCCTGAAACTCCACCTGGTTCTCCTATGTCTTCCCTGACCTGCTCTTCTCATAATAAAATAGTTTAGTTTATTTAAAAAATTAGAACCAGTTAATACTCAATAAACTAATTGAAGACCTCACCAGAGCTTCCTGCTCTCTTCACCTTTCTTCAACAGCATCACTATTCTAGCACTACCATCCTCCTGAATATCTAATAAAGTTAAGTGGTCAGTATGATCAGGTGTTGTGTAGCCGTTGTTCACACTGACATTACACTTTAAACAAGAAAAAGGCTAATTTTGCTGCCGTTTCATTTCCTTGTGATGAAATACAACTTAGACATGTAGATATTAATTTCGTGCTGCTCCACAACAAAGGGAAAAATCGTTAAACAACAACTCACAACCACGTCTTTCTCGCTCTCTGCATCAGCGCAGCTACAAGGAGACTCGTTGCCATAGCAACTGACAACGACGCCACAAAAGTGAACACTCAGCTATTTCCCATACAAAGAGCAGAACATTCAGTCTGTTGCAGTAGTATGGTTTTAGGCTTCATTTTTATCTTGGGATTATTAATAAGTGATTGCTGTGGTAAGAGAAGAAAACTATAAATATATCGCTGCACTTGACGGCTAGCTGCTAGCT